TTCCTTTTTATTGGTACCAGGGATTGAACTCATGACTGCCTGCTTGCAAGGCAGGTGCTTATGTCGCTGAGCTAAATCTCCAGCCCCCAATAATACATAATTTCAAAGAAAAAAACAATAAGAAATCAATAGTTGATGATTACAGATTGTCTTCTTGCAAACAGTTATTCAAGATACTAAAGTGGAGTATATAAAGTGGGGATTCAAACAGTGAGATTGCAACCAGTTCTGTTCAACTATCCAACAAAAACTTAGAAATATGGTTATCAAGCCTATACACTTAAACATACATGCAGTTATCCATATCTTCAATTATGTTGAGATTGAACAAACCCAAGCAGGTTAATATCACTCTGAACAAAGAATAATACTATTGCTGGGTTTCACATTATGACACTCCAGGATCAGCACGGAGTATTTTAGTGTCTCTTTTTCTTAAAAGTATCTGTTCATTTCATCATGTGTCATAAGATCAGTTCTCATAAACTGTTTATAGATTCTACACATGCATGAGTCTTAACATGTATTTCTATCCTTTCTATGTTAGAGGGAGAAACAAAACAAAACATATTCCTATAAACATATGAAATGAAAAAAACATGTAAGACTGTTGTACAAAGAGTTCTACCATGGTTCCTGTGTTGTCTCTTGTTATCTTCAATAGAATTGGCTATATCATCAGACATAGTATAATTGAATATATCAGTACATAACAGCATTAATAAAAACACAACTTTGTATATTGTATAGAACTTCAAAAACAGGCAGTGATCAAACCAGAATGTGTGTCATAGAGTCTTGTCATCTTCAGTGTAATTGCCTATATTCTCAGACTTCATACTATCATATCAGTTTTGAATAAAATCTGTTGATACCAAACAGCAATCAAACAAACCAGATTTAACTAATAAAAGTCATGATAAAACAGTATAAGTCATACAGGGCTCCATATTAATTTAATAGGAAATTAAAGATGATTACTGTGCTATATTCTGATGTTTTTGGCATAGCTATCTGTGCCCTCAAATCTAATGCAAGTAGAAAAACTGGGACAGAATAAAATCTATCATAAAAATAGGATAAAATTTAAGGAGAGTGGTGGGAGTAATGTGGGTTTTAAATTCCAATACAATATTAACAACACCTTCTGCCATCTTTTTAAAGACTTTCCCTTCCCCTTCCCCTTTCACTTCCCCAGGGTACATCGTGCATTTTTGGGCCTGACCAAGACCCTTGGTTTTAAATTGGGGGGGAGGCAACTTGCTATTTACCTAAGTGGTTCTGAACCTTCTCTCTCCTGGACTTGATCTCTAATTGTATTCCTTTACCTATTAAAGCCTGTCTTTCCAAACTATCCACAAATACTGGTCTAGTTGCCCCTGTTACTTTCTAGTTCTCTGTCACATAGAGCATTGTTTTCTCACATTTGATTTTCAGTACATGTACTCTTCTTCATGTTAATTCTATTTCCTACAAATAGCATCTCAGTGGACCCTGCCTCCTTATCTACTCCACGTGTGGTTCTTTTTTTTTTTAAATTTAGTGTATCAAAGCCATCTATATTAGAGATTATAACCAATCTTCTCTGCCTCATTTCTGTTTTGCTGGGTTTTTTTGCCATCAGTTGTCTGCTTATCTTCTTTATTCTGTTTTCTGCTCCATTCATTGAGGCCTCTCTGCCACTGTTCCTGGAATCCTAGTACTTTTCTCTCTCTCTCATGCCCTGCAGAATTCTCTGTAGAGTTGGATTGGTAGCTGCAAATTTCCCAAGTTCCTCTTTGTCTTGGAAGCATCTTGTTTCTCCATGAATTTCTAGAGCAGTTTAGCAGGGTATATCAATCTGGGATGGAGGTTATTTTCTTTCAGGGCTTGGAATATTTTGCTCCAGGCTCTTCTTGACTTGATGGTTTGTGTCGAGAAGTCTGCCGTTATTTTGATGGGCCTTCCTTTATAGGTTATCTGTTTCTTGTCTCACACCTTTTAATATTCTGTTCTTATATTGAATTCTGGGGTCTTGATTATTATATGCCTGGGTGTAGCTCTGTTTTGGTTGTAGGTGGCTGGAGTTCTGTGTGCCTCATACATCTGAATATCATTTCCTTTTCCTATGTTTGGGAAGTTTTCCTTAAGTATTTCTGTAAATAGTCTTTGTAGTTCCTTTGTTTGTACCTCTGCTTCTTCATTCACATTCTTTATTCTCAAGTTATAGATCCTCTTATTGTCTTCTAGCCTTTGTATTGTTACTGCTTGTTTCCTTGTTATTTTAAAAAAGTTTTCCCTTTCATCATCCCACATTGCAAAATTGTCCTCCAGTTTCGATAATGTATCCTTAGTTTCTTTCAAGCTGATTTTCCATCTTTCCATAGAGTTTTTAATTTCCTAGTAATCACTTTGAATCTGCTTCATGTATTCTGTATTTTTTTATATTCTTTATCAAATGGTTCTCTCCTTTGAGTTTCTCTCTTCTTCCATCTGTGTCTGCTTGACGGGTGCTTAGTATCTCTTTTATTAATCTTCTTATATCTTGCTTTACTTGGCTAAATAGTTCACTTTTGAACTCGTCTATGAGGTCCCAAAGATATCTCTTTATGTCCCCTGGTGCCATGTCTGATATTGCATGTTTGCTGTTCTCATTCTCCTTTGTATTTACCTGTCCTGGGTCAATGTTCTCAGGGTTGGGACTGGGGACTTTTTCCTGTTGCTTCCTCTTCCCATCTTTTTTGTTTCTTCCAGGAGGCCCCAGTTTCTTTCTTTGTTGGTTACAGTTCTTCTGAAGTGCGCTGGCTACATGACCCTTCCCGCTGCAGTGTGCTAGTGAGTTGCAGACACGGATAGCATATGCTGGTCCCTCCCTTCCAGATCAGTCAAGCTGCTGTGGTCTGCACTGTATTACTTTGTGCCACCTCCCCTCCGGGTCAGTCAAACTTCTGACGCTTCACTGGTTAGTGTGCGCCACTAATAGGGACTTGATTTCAGATAATCTATAGGGTCTCAGCTAGGTCACATGACCCAGGCCTCGCTCACTCCACCAATCCCGTTCGGGAAGGGAACAACTGACTGAAGTCACTGCTGCCCCTTGTGCTTGCCAGTATTGCCCGTCCCAGAGTTTCGTCCACTGGAGACCCCCTTTCTATGGAATGGCTCCACTCCCATCATGCACCACAGGTCGATGCAGGCACCCCACCAACTCAGCTCTCCATTCGGCTCACTGATCCCTGATCTCACTGTAACTGCGCCTCCAGTGAGTTGAAGCGGCGGGACCTCAGACAGCTTGGCAAGTTGCCCACTGCAGTGGGAACAGTGAACCTTTAGCTGTTCCAATAATAGCACTGGGACTGTATATTGGGTTGGTTCTTCTCACCTTAATTTCTTCTTGGGACGAGAGAATTCATCTCCCTCTGTTTGGGGCTCCCCACTCTGTATTATGTTGAATTCTAAGTTGACTATCTCAGGGAATCTCTGTAGCCAGCTGGTATCTATCTGCCATCTTTACTCATGTGTCTAGAAACCTATTGTTATCTATCTGCCCTCTTTGCTCCTCCCCCTCTATTTAGTGCTTTCTCTTAAGTTAGATATGTTGCAGTCATTTTTTGGAATTTGGGTTCATTGATATCTATTCTATACAAGATCTTTATACTGTCTACACAGCAAATATTTTCTTCCTGTGTTGTTTTTGTCCTGTGATTTTCCTACATTTCATTTTATCCTAATCCTGATGGTTATTTGACTTTTTTCTGAGGAAATACTTTTTTCACATATAAAATTTATTTCACTATGAATTTTCAAGACACTCAAGCTTCTTTCCTATCTCAAAATATAACTTAATCATTGTATATTGACTAGAAAAGTATTCAATTCTGATTTCCAAGTACATACCTCTTTCTCTCTGAATATAAATGAAGAGGTTGTGATTTCTTCCAGAGGTATATAACACTGGCCCTATAATGAATTAATGTTCTGTATACCCTTGAACCCACTGAAGACTGTCTTCCTTTCCTGAGATCCATTTGTCATTCTCTCTGCTAACAGTACAGTCTCATGAAATGTGGAATTTGAATGTTTTCATGTGTTTGATGTAAGTTATTAACCTTGCTGAGAAGGTATTGCATGTTCTTAGACTTTTATTATATTGTACAATCATTTTTTAAAAAAACAAATCAGGGAGTCCTTGTGAAACAAATTCTTGAAATTTTCTTTTCTGTGAGGGGTTTGAGCAGGGTCTTACTTTGTATTCAGAGTCTTGAATTTGCTATGCAGCCAAGGCTGGCTTTCAATTCATGGCAGTCCTCCTGCATCAACCTGCCAACCTCCTGCCTGAGATTCCAGGCATGTACACCTAGATGAAATTTTTCTTTTATGCCTAATTACTTTGTGATGTATTGGTTTTCAATGCACCTAATATATTTTGTTCATCTCCTTCCCCTCATTTCTCTCCAGTATCCCACCTAGCGTTCCCTACACCTGAGCACCAGGTCACCATTTGTGAACATTGATCTATAAGATAATATGCTACCCTTTTCCTGTTTTCATTGTTCATAGACTTGTTCCGGTAAAACTTTTTCCATTAACATTTAAATTAATATTCATAAACCTCATTTGATGGTCAGTTGTGTATTTTTCTATGGAACCAAAATTCAGTTTTCAAAGCGCTGCCTATGTACAATCAAAGAAAAAGGACTCAGTGCCATAAAGAGTAAAGATGTGAAAAAGAGAACTGTGATGTATCAGAACTGCTCGTCTGTCCCAGTGTTCTGTAGTTTCCCTCTCTGAGCTCTGATTTGGAGACAATCTACTCTAACTATCCAGGGATGCAGCCAGTGCTCCTATTCTGCTGCGGCTTAGCAGTGATTCTACCATCAGAATTATCATTTGAAGAAAATATGTGTGCATTGGGAATTAATGACAAGACACGGAGTTAATAGTCAAAGGATTCAGCCTGCATTAGCTCTTTTTTTTCTTGGCAGGGGGTGGGTTAAGACTATTTTTCCTATGTATTTCAGGCTGGACAACAACTCATGGTGTAGTCCAGGCCAGCCTCAAAGTCATGACAACCTACCTGCCTAGTCTTCTGAGGACTGCCATCACAGACATGCACAAACACGTCTGGCTATTAATTCAGCTCTTTATGAGAGGAGTTCAGGTATCCCAGGCTGTCTCAACCTTCCTTCAAGAAATATATGTGTGGTCATTAAGGAGGCAGTGACCTTTGAGGACATGGCTGTGAGCTTCACCATGGAGGAGTGGGATTTCCTGAGTGCGTCACAAAAAAAAAGCTCTACAGAGATGTGATGCGGGAGACCGTTAGGAACATGGCTGCTATGGGTAAGGATGCCATCTCTTTCTCATTTACACAAGGGGAGAATACCGTTGGTTGCACATGAGTGCAGTTTCATTAAATGAATATGAAAATGTTTTGAAGAATGCCTCAGGCCTGATTACATTGTACCCTGAATCTAACCGGAATCTATTCATTTTTTGTAATAATATAGTGATTTGTTGTATTTGTTTATACATTTCAGGAATAGCTTTGGATAACCAAGAAGTGGAAGAAGACTACAAAGCTTACTGGAGAAATCTAAGGTAATTTGCACTCAAAAGGAAAAGGAGTGTTCCACAAGAGTCAATGTGTGAGCAGAAATCTGACAACCACGAAAAGGAGACCATGTTCAAATTTATTTAATCTCACAACTATTCTCCAAAGATGTATACAGCTTGAGTATGTACAATCTGAGGATTGAATACAGAAATACTCCACTGTAGAAGACTGAGTTAGTAGTGATGTCATATAACAAGTAACAGTATCTAATATATAAGTATAAAAAATTATTTCATGAGCAACATTTTGAAAATTTATGAAATTGCATTTAGATATTGTGTATAGATGCATGTGAAATGAACACATTTTGAGTTTTGACAGGAACCCATCTTCACTATCTCTGTTTATGTATGCATATGGGTACGATAAAACGGTAACCTGAAAGTGGTAGTCAAAGTGCAAATGAATGCTGGTGTCCTCGAGGAACTGAATCCTTTCATATGTTAAAATTCTTAGAAGTCACTCTCCAATATTGTTTGTTTTTTTGTTTTTGTTAGCAGGGATTGAACTCACGATCTCACGCTTGCCAAGCAGGTACTTACACCACTGAGCTAAACCACCAGTCTCTCCAGCATTGTTGATGGGAATGTTAAGTATAGTCACGGTGATAATCAGTAAACAGATATCTTAAGTGAAAATAGAAGTTCCATTTGATCTGGGCATATCTCTCCTGAGTATGCTCTCAAAAGAGTTAAAATCATCCTGTTATACTGATACATGCATACCCATGCTCAAAGCAGGACAACTTATAACAGTTAAGCCCTAGAATTGGCCTAGATGTCTTTCATTGAATGTGTGGGTGGAGAAATTTTTAATAAGCTCAGCATGATGGTGTATTCTTGTAAACCCAGCTTTCTTGGAAGCAGATTCAGCAGGATGGCAAATTGAAGCTCAGCCAACCAGCTTAATCACTGATGATTCTCTTTCTCAAAATAGAAATTAAAAAGCTGGAAATATAATTCAGTGCTAAAACCTGTGCTTAATTCCTAGCACTGAAAAGAAAAATAAGATGTGCTATGTAATCAGCCATAAAGGTGAATATCATGTCATTTACTAAAAGAAATGGGTCAGTCTTCATCCCATGTTAAGTGAAGTAAGGCAGACACAGAATGTTAAATATCACATGGTTTCTCTTATATGAGAAATTAAACGTATAAAATATAAACTAGAGAGTCAAATAAAGGTGAGGTGATATAAAATGTAAATGATTGATATTTTCAAGATAGAAAAGATGAACAGGGTAAGGGGAGAAGGGACAAAAGGTAGGATAAACAGTCAGTATATGATACACATAAGTGCTAATTGCCCAAAATGAACTAAACTTTATGTAATGCAAAGCATGCCAATTTAAAACTTCCCAAGTGAATACTACTCTTTTTTATTTTTGAACTGGGGATTGAACTCACAAACTCATGCCAGGCAGGCGCATGTGCCACTGAGCTAAACCCCCAACCCCTAATAATATTCTTTTTTTTTTTTTTTTTGGTACTGGGTGGGGATCAAACTCATGACCTTGCACTTGCCAGGCAGCCTAATAATGCTACTGTTAATGACTATTTTGCAGGTGTCCTCCAGAGCATTCAGTTAATCCACTGTCAAAATTTCTCTGCAAGGGGTTGGGGGTTTAGCTCAGCGGCATAAGTGCCTGCCTTGTAAGCAGGCAGTCGTGAGTTTGATCCCCAGTACCAATAAAAAAGGATAAAGACCAAAAAAATTTTCTCTGCAAACATCAAAACAGAGCTTGTTCTATTCAATCATTAATGTAGAGACCCATTTTATTGTGATTTTCTTTCTTTACAGAAATGAAGAGGTAGACAAATGCTATCAATATAAAGCTTGTAATCAATACAGAGAAATATTCTTTTGGACTCAAGATGCTAATTTGGACATGAAAAAAGCTGATTTAAATCCAGCTGAAAACTTTGCCTGTAAAAAATTTCTGAGTGGGCATTTGTCACTAAACGTGCCCATCATAGCTCACACTGCACTGAAGCCATATGAATATTTGAGATCTGAAGAGAAGCTGTATAAATGCAATGAAAATGGAAGAACCTGCAGTAATTTCCAGTCCTCTCAGAAGCATACATGGAAAAAGTCCATAGAGAAACCTTATAAATGTGGTCAACATAGGAAATCCTACCCTCATCTTAGCGAGAGAATTCACCTTGGAGAGAAGACCTTTGTATGTAAGAAAACTTTAGTAGGCTCCAGCACATATAATGCTCAGATCCATGAAAGAAATCACAGAGGGAAGAGACCCTATGTATGTAAGCAATGTGGGCAAACGTTCAGTAAACACAATCATCGCCAGGTGCATGAAAAAACTCACGCTGGTGAGAAGCCCTTTACATGTAAGCAGTGTGATAAAGCTTTCAGCACATACCATGTTTGTACAAGACATGAAGCAAGTCATACAGGAGAGAAACCCTATATATGTAAATAATGTGGGAAGGCATTCAGTACACACAGTTATAGTCAAGTACATGAAAGGACTCACACCGAGGAGAAACCCTATGTGTGTAAGCAATGTTGGAAAGCTTTCAGTACACATAGTCACTGCCAAGTACGTGAAAGAACTCACACTGGGGAGAAGCCCTATGTATGCAAGCAGTATGGGAAAGCTTTTGGTACACTTTGTGATTGTCAAGTCCATAAAAGAAGTCACACTGGAGAGAAACCCTATGTATGTCAACAGTGTGGGAAAGCATTCAGTACACACAGTTATTGTCAAATACATGGAAGGACACACACTGGGGAGAAGCCTTATGTGTGTAAGCAGTGTGGGAAAGCATTCAATACACGCAGTCATTGCAAGATACATGAAAGAACTCACAGTGGGGAGAAACCCTGTATGTGTAAGCAATGTGGGAAAGCTTTCAGCACACGCCGTTATTGTAAAATACACGAAAGAACTCATACTGAGGAGGCACACTATGTATGTAAGCATTGTGCAAAAGTTTCCGCACACATTGTGATTGTCAAAGACATGAAAGAATTCACACAGGGGAGAAACCCTATGTATGCAAGTAATGTGGGAAAGCATTCAGAACATGCAATAATTGTCAAGTGCATGAAAGAACTCATACTGGGGAAAACCCTATGTGTGTAAGCAATGTGGGAAAGCTTTCAGCACACATAGTCATTATCAAAGACATGAAAGAATTCACACTGGGGAGAAGCCCTTTGTATGTAAACAGTGTGGGAAAGCTTTTAGCACACGTGGTGCTTATCAAAAACATGAAAGAACTCACACTGGTGAGAAACCCTATGTGTGTAAGTAATGTGGGAAAGCATTCAGTACACGTACTTATTGTCAAATACACAAAAGCAGTCACACTGGGGAGAAACTCTATGTACGTAAGCAATGTGGAAAAGGAAAAGTAAGTTCTCACTTTGTAGACATAAAAGAACTCACACTAGGGAGAAACCCTATGTGTGTAAGCAGTGTGGGAAAGCTTTTAGTACACATGGTGATTGTCAAAAACATGAAAACACTCATACTGGGGACGAACTTTATGTAGGTAAGTAATGTGGGAAAGCTTTTGGCACTCAATAAATGGCTTACCCTGACAGCACATGTCTTTTGCTTTCCTGGCCTTTTTGTAGGTACATACTTGACATCTCAGTGACCTTGCCATTTTGTCAGGAGATCCTTATTATACTGTGTGTAGTTAACAGAAACAAAATATCAATAAAATTACTAAATTCTTAATATGTGTTGGTATTTAGAAGAGACATCAATATTTGCACATGAACTGTGTATTTCTTTACAAAACTTAAAGATAATGTTAGAAGCAAATTCCTATGTGAACTCCAATGAATATACCAATAGAACTCTACCACAAAATGAACTTTGCTTCAACTGTCACACCCAAGGCAGCCTTCGCACAACACCTGCATGTCCCATACACACATCTTGCTAACACCGACAGCACATGCGCTTAGTTTTCCTTTCCTATGTGGCAGTCTTGTCACCTCTCTTTCTATTTTGTCAGGAGCTTCCTGCTATAGCATACAACATGCACTTAGTGAAACAAGATGTCAAGTAAAATAAAACAACAAATATGTAATGAGTGCTTAGGCTACACATCAGCATATCACATCAACTGCATACAAGACCTAAGAGATAACATCAAAAATAAAAACTTATGTGCAGTGTAAGTACAAACAAAAGAGTACCACAGAAATCAGCTTTGCCTCAGCTGTCACACCCTAAAGCAGCCTTCACACATGGCAACTAACTACATGTTCCATACACAAATATCACTTACATGGACAGTATATAACCTTGTTTTCCTGTGCTTTCTTGTAGGGCAGAGTCACCATCCTTTGTGTTTTCCTAGTGTCATAGTAGGACTTTGTGATGCTACACCTGCCATTCACCTCTCAGGTCATCAGTGTGCTCTATAATTTTTTTGCATAGTTCCCTGAACTCAAAAGCAAAAAAATTTAGTTAAAAGTTTCATCAGTTTGGAGTACATAATGCTTAAATTCACTGTCAGAAGTGTCACATACAGCACATCTGAACTCCTTACTTTGCCTTCCATCTCTTCCTTCCACTTCATCCTGTTTCCATTTATAAAATATCTACCTCAGTTTTTATTTACTGATAACTAAATGTTAAGCCAGGTGTGGTGGTGCACTCCTGCATTCCCAGCACTCAGGAAGCTGAGGCTGGAGGACTGTTGCAAGTTCAGGACCAGCCTGGGCTACAAAGTGAGCTCAAATCCAGCCTGAACTGCATAGATTCTCTCTTGTCTCAAAAAGAAAAAAATATTCCAATAGTAAAGTCCAATATTTACAAATCACTGAATCCTGAATATGCAAATGTATTAGGATTTCAGCATCCTTTCTAGGTTTCTAAAGAAGATCCATAAAATATATTACAAGAAACAGAGTCCCAAATGATGGGTATCACCCAGAAATGGAAAGCCACAGTATGAAGCACAAACACATGATGATCACAGGCATATGAATTCAATGCACGAAAACTGTAGCATCAGATTCACCAACCAAAAACAGGCAAGAGTGCCCGTGTTCAGCAGGTGATGTGTGGCATCAGCTAAGATAACCATAACTCCTCTTTATCCATGAGTCATCTGCCAGTTTAGCAAGGTTTAAAAATACTTAAAATTCTAGAAATAGAAATTGACAAGTTCAAATTATGTGTCATTGTCAACAGTATGATTAAATTTCAGTTAAGATGACCATTTAATGAAGGACCACTATGGCCCCTCACTTAAATCATTACATAGCTATTGTGTGATGTCATATGACAAGGAGGGTGTGTACAGTAAGGGAAACATTCAGGAAAGACAACATTCATATGGTACTGATTACACCATGTTTCAACTATTATCAGTACCATTATTAAATATGACAGTATTAAGTACTGTTATGAATCTCTATATGTGTATAACTTATCAGTTAAATTTTCGTAGGTATATATATATGAAATATTTCATGTATGTATGTGCATGTGATTTATTTGCAATGAGGATTTTTTATTTTAAAGAGGGTAAGATTAAACATAACAAAACAACAAATCAAATCATAAGGAAACAATTTTAAGAAACAGATTTCAAAGCAAGTCCACTGGAGATCTTCACAGCCTATCATGACGTCTCTTGTTTTCTCCCAAATAGTTGTCTCCATCTTCACACACAGTGAATACATACTGAACATTATAGTACTAATCTAATCAGAACAGGATGATGAAGGCTTTTTAGGTCTTCAAGACCTGATATTAGCGAAGTCAACAATGGCTGCCATAATGTTTCTCATTCTCTCGAAGTAGCTGTCCATATCTTTACATATGCTGAAATTAAACACGAGACTAGACTAATATCACTGTGCACAGTGAATAATAGTATTGCTAGATTTTATATCATAATGCTACATAATTAGCACGGGTATCTTAGTGTCTCTTCTTCAGAGTATCTGTTCATTACATCGTGCATTATATAATCTGTTCCCGTAAACTGCTTAGAAATTCTCCACCTGTGTGAATCTCTACATGTATACCTATCCTTTCTGTATTATAGAGAAAAACATATCAAAACAAGACTATAAAACAAATTCCTAGAAAAACATGAAAAAGACATAAAACCACAATATTATGTGATATACAGTAGTTGCTATGTTTTCTCTTATTTTCAATAGAATTGTCTACATCATCAGATGTAATATAATTGTACATAGCAATTTTAATAAAAACACCATTGGAGACATTGTAGGACTTCACAAGCAGTTAATAATTCAGCCGGAATGAGTATCTTATTACATTGTGTCATCTTCAGGGTAGTTGCCTCTACTCTTAGACTTGATACTATCAAGCATACCAAATTCGAATAAAATCAGTCAAGATAAAACAGCAGTCTAACAAACCAGCTTCAAATAAGATCAGTCATAGACAATGTAAGTGTTACGGGGCTTCAGTTTAAGTTTATAGGGAATTAAGGATATTTACCATAGTATATCCTGCTATTTTTGGGATAGCTGTTTGTGCCCTCAAATCTAGTATGAGTAGACAGACCAGAACAAAATAAAATCAAGCTGAACAGAGCGGTAAGACTAATGTGGCTTTTAAATCCTGATACACTATTAACAGTGTCCTCTGCCTTCCTTTTTTAGGCAATTCCTCCCCTTTCCCTTTCTTAGGGTGCTTTGTATATTTTGGGACCCACTAACTCCTTTAGTTTTTAGATTATGGGGGCAATCCATTATCTATCTAAGTGGTGTTGAACCTTTTTACCCCTGAGCTTGATCTTGAGCTGTACTCCTTTACTTACTAAAGCCACAAGGTTTTCCTTCCTGCTTGCTGAGTAGTTCACTGCACAAAAGTGTCATAACTTTCCAACCTATCTGCAGCTGCTGAACGAGTTGTCCCTATTTCTCTCTGGTTCCCTGTCACATAGAGCATCATTTTCTCATCTTTGACTTCTAGTTTATTAACCCTCTTTCAAGTTGAGTATATTTCCTATTCAGAGCATCTCGATGGATCTTGCCTCCTAATCTACTCTGCCTGTGTTTCCTTTTTGTTAGTGTATCAGGTCTATCTATATTAGAGATTATAACCCACCTTCTCTGACTCATCTCTGCTATTTTATTGTTCTGCTATTCTTTGTCCACTTTTCTCCTTCATTCCACTGTCTGCCCTATTCATTGAGGCCTCTCTGCCACTTTTGCTGGAATCCTAGTATTATTTTCTATCTCTCTCTATAATGTCCTTCAGTATTTTTTGTAGGATTGGATTGGTGACCACGAACTCCCACAGTTCCTCTTTGTCTTGGAAACACCTTGTTTCTCCATTAATTTTGAGAGAGAGTTTTTCAGCATACATCAGTCTGGGTTGGAGGTTATTTTCTTTTAGGACTACTTCACTCCAGGCTCTTCTTGATTTGATAGTTTCTGTTGAGAAGTCTGTAGTTATTTTGATGGATTTTCCTTTGTAGGTGATCTGCTTCTTTTCTCTGACTGCTTTTAATATTCTGTTCTTGTGGTGGATTTCTGGATCTTGATTATTATATGTCTGGTGTAGATCTGTTTTGGTTGTAGTAGGTTGGAGTCCTGTATGCCTCATTTATCTGGATATCATTTCCTTTTCCTATGCTTGGGAAGTTTTCCTTAATTATTTCTGTGAATAGCCTTTGTAATTGATTTGTGGTTACTCCTGCTTCTTCACTCCCATTTTCTATTCTTAAGTTATAGATCCTCTTGTTGTCTTCTAGCCTTTGAATTGTTACTTCCTGGTTCCTTGTTATTATTAAGAGGTCTTTTCTTTCACAATCACACATTGCAAATATATCTTCAAGTTTTGAAAGGCTAACTTTAGTTTCTATCAAGGCATTTTGCCAGCTTCAATGGAGTTTTTAATTTCCTGGTAATCTCTTTGGATCTGTTTTGTGTAGTCTAGATTTTGTTTATATTCTTCACCAGAGATTTCTCTTCCTTTTCTGAGTTCCTCCATTCTTCCATCTGTGTCTTCTTGAGAGGGGATTAGCATTTCTTTTATTAATCTTTTTGTATCTTATCTCACTTGGATTAGAATTTCAGTTTTAAGTTCATCTATGAGGTCTGCTGGTGCTGTGTCTGATATTGCATGTTTGCTGTCCTCGATCTCTTCTGTATTTACCTCTCCTTCACTTATTTTCCAGGATCAGTGACTGGAGGCTTTTCTTATTTATTTCTCTTGTCATGTTTCTGGTTTCTTTCACACAGGTGTGTGGTGGAGGTCTCAGGCCCTCATCTGTGTTGCTTATGGTTTTCTGAAGCGTGCTGGCTGGGGGCTTGCCGCCTTCTCCATTTTGCTGTTATCTGAGGTACACGCAGGGACTGTGGGCTAACTGCTCTTCTCTGAGCCAGTCAACTGGCAAGTGCCTTCAGCAACTTAGGCTGTGCTGGTGGACATCACAGGGTTGGGACAGTTTCATTCCTGGTTATTGGGTCTCCACCAGGGGTGTGACCCAGCCCAAGCAGGTCCCACCAGTCCTGTCTAGGCCAGGGACAGCTGACACATCACTGCAGTGCTGGACTCTGCCCAACTCCAATATGTCTTCCAGCCGGCCACACCCACCACAGGACCCAGTTTCCAGCACTCACTGTGAATTAATGCAGCTCCTAACCTTGGCTACACTCTACACTGTGCTGTGGTCTCCTGCCAAGGGCCTGGGACTCACCAACTCCTGTTATTGGTGGCCACGGCTTCAGCGTGACCTTGATTCCTCTGATTCCACAGTGCTCCCAATACAGCAGTGAGCACATCAGGCTCCATCCCTCTACCTGAATTTTTCCTTCCTCTTCCCCTTTTTCTTTTTCCTCAGTTTCCTCCTGGTAGTGAGAATCTCTCTCCCCTTGTCCAGCCCTCTCCATGTTGTCAAATTCCAGGGTCCGAGCTGTTTTTCCCAGAGAGGCTCTCCACCCAGCTACCTAGCAAGCCGCCATCTTCTTGTCTCTCTCTCATGTATGTGATTTATTACTACCCACTGTTGGAAGCAAACACTGGGGACATGGAATTATATCACCCTCATATAAAAGGAGACTACTCTCATTTGTTATTATAATAGAGATACCACAACTCCTGTCTGTCTGGCTTGTCACCATATCAATAAAAAAACCCAGAAGTTGTCTGGAAGAGACACATGATAGCTACTTTTCCATTCCCTTGTCTAAATCACACAGGTTCTTGGGAGCTTTTTCTCTTTCCCCCAGGTGAATACCTTGGTTTCACATGGGGTGTGACTGAACCTCAGAAGGAATAAATCTAGAAGCAGGTGCAGATTTTTGAAAGCAACATGCATTTTTAGCGTGCTTAGGATTTACTCTAGAAAAGCTGGGTGAGTCAGTGGTAACGGGTGAGGTAGAGACAGTTTCAAATGGCAAAGAAAACACAAGCAACCCTAGGCAGAGAGCAGCAGGAGACAAGCATCACCTAGGACCTTGAAAGATTATGAGGCTGAGGGAACAGAACAGAGTGCATGTTTGATAAGCTGTTTCCCAAAGCAGTTTGATTACATGTATTTGTAGACTTCTTTGTACTCTCAAAGTCATTTTTATTTGTAAATTTTAAAGTCCACGTGAAGTGTTTTAGCATTTTTTTTTGTCTTATCAGATAACAATATAAATCAAGGAGTGTCATAAAGTCATGTTCAAAGATTTGGATTCAACATTCTTGTCTTTATAAAGATTGTTGTGATGTAGATGAATCACACCTTCAAGATGAGGCCAATCATGAGCTTGCAGAGAAAGGGCAGTCAATTCCTCTTGGGTGTTTCCTGGGCAACAGTCTTCCCTGTAGGTGGCCTCTAGCTGGAGAGAACAACAGAAGGTGTGAACCGTGGAATACTACCAAGGGTGGAAGGCTAAGTCTCATACCCAGACGCCATACAAAATGCAGAAGTCACACCCTTTGGGTGCTTTTCTCCTTTCTGAAATTATGACTCTATTTTCCTTGGGACTTTTTACACACAATTTTGACTTTGGGATGCATAGTTTTGCTGGAATCAATTCTAATTTGCATAAAATTCTGTGAAGGGCAAGTATTCTTTTTCCACTGGCGGCACCAGCTTTGAGGTTGCCTTCTCCTCCTACTTCATTCCTCACCAAGATGAAGACAAGGACCTGGGAAAGTACACGGTCATCTCAAGGGAGACCCTGAGATCCCCAAACCCCCAGCAAATGCAACTACTGGGGACTCATTCAGTATTTTAGTTCCTTTTCCCATCCTCCTCGCAGTCTGGAAAGTTTGTAATCCCTTTGAAACATTATTGGAATCCCAGCAAGTTAACTCCATTCTACCACCTCCAGTGCAGCCCACAGGGAGAATAAAGACACTAAGACATATTCATAGTTACAGGCAGCCAAGGAGTCCTGAGTCCATTCTAGGTAAGGATGCACAGGACAAGGGCCTTGCCCCAGAGCTTAACCCAGGATTTTTTAATTCATGAAGCAGGGAGAGGCTGAGGGATGAGTGACCATGAGAATGGCAGAATTACATGGGTAATGTGAGCTGAGCTAGCCAGGAGGCTAGAAAGCACCACTGCAATGTGCAGGAAGAAGGGTATGCAGAAAGACCAACCTGCATAACCCTACTGGGGTAGCAGTAAATATTTAGGAGGCTCTTGTTTCAGTTTCTGATATGTAAACTTTTGTGCCCTGGGAAGTCATAGCCTCTCACTTTGAAGCTCAAACACTGTTGACATTCAGGATGGCAGGAAAGACCAGCAAAGACGTTCTGGTCGTGGTATACCCAGTCTAAACGGGAGTGAATGTAGGAGAACACTCTGTCCCCTTCTTAGCTTATTTTCCAAAGGAAACCTCCCCCACCCCCACCACACCGTCCACCCGCCGTCTAACGCAGTGGAAATCTTTACCCCTTTGCACATTGGAGGACTGTTGAGACCGGGGCAACGAGTGCCAGTGCTGACTCTCCGGAAGCACTGTGGGCTTTCACCTCATCGTGCTAAGTGCTGCATGCTTATGTCACTGCTGAGCCACGCAGTGTCCAGAGGTATTACATGGGCTGTCAGGAAGGGTTAGATCCACCTTTAGGCCCGTGGATATGGGGAGGAGAACCGGGAGTCTTGGCACGTCTCCAGATGTTCTGCTTGCCAGGAACCTGGGCCAAGACTTCTTTCTGGCTATTGCTGCTTTATGTCTCATAAACGGGGACTATAGATAGTTTCTAAATTAGGCTGCCACCTCAGAGATGTCGCTTCTAACCTCTTTCTTTCGGATTACTCTCGGCAGGATTTCCCACAGCTAATTGTTCTGTCAGGCCACAGTGGGAAATTTGGTTGTTTCATCCCACTTAATCTAGACAGGAAAATTTCCTCCCGTTGATTTTCCACCCGTGTTGCCATACTCCAGCAAGCTCAGATTTTCGTATAAGAGCATTAAGACCTGCTTGTGTCCTAGAGAGACAGTGTCAAAAGAGCTCTTTGTTTTATCTGTGACGCATTTTGCAAATCTGCCCCTCTTGAAATACCAGTACAGACCCAACCATCCAAGGCCCAATTTGAGGAGCTGCTGTACTGCATGCTTCCTGATTCTCCTCTCCTAAGACCCTGAGAGCCCCATGATTTGGCCGTGATCTCCTATTAGGGCCCATTAAAGGGAGAGCTTTTACATTTGAAACACTGCTGTATAAGTGCCCAGACCTTCTTGGGCTTGACACTAAGGACAGCAGGTCGCTGCCAGGTCCATGCGGGGGTGGGGATGCCCCATCCGGACACGGGCGGCGCCCCTGGCATCGTGACTACGCTCCGCCTCGCCTTGGGCACGAAGCTGCTGGACCCTGAGCGCTGAATTCAGCGGTTTCCAGCCCTGTAGTCGCCGTGAGAAGAAACACAGCTGGGTGTGGTGAGTAGAAGGCGTTGGATCCCCTCGGAGCGCTCGGATCCTCACAGGCGCCCTGCAGCTCCGGAGGCCCAGAGCAGCCAGCGGCGGCGCCGGGAAGGCACAGAGCTGTTCCGCCCCGCGCTGGCGCCAGGCGCGCGAGCTCTCGTCCACTACCCGCGTGCGCGCAGCGTCCCTTCGCGAGTGTGCAGCGCTCGTGCCGGGACGCGATCGCGGTGAGGAGCAGGAAGCCGCCACGACGCCGCGCTGCCTGCGCCACGCGCGTCCCGCCGCTGCAGACGCCCCTGCGGGGTGGAGGCGCGCGGTGCCGCCGTCGCGGTTCCTCCCGAGACCTGCGCGGCCGCCTGACAGAGGCCCAGGCGCCGTGTGCCCTGCAGACTGCAGCCCGGGCCGCTCGGGCCGCCCGCCTCTGAGGCCCGGCTTGGCCGCGAGCTGCTGGGGGAGGCAGCGGGGCGCGGCGCGCAGCCCCACTCTGCCCTCCGCGTGCCTCCCCGTGGCCTGGGCGGCGTCCCGGACAGCCGGGGAGACACCCACGGAGGAGCCCCGGGCACGGTCGAGCTTTGCCGTCTGAATCCGTGAATCAGGAGCTGGTGCAGCTTGTGGAAGGGGTGTGCACACACGCGTGTGCGCCCCGCCGCGATGTGCATGTGTGTGCTGTCAGCGTGATAGATACGTGTGTATCTACGTGCACATTTAGATGTAAAGGATATCCTTCTCCAAGGCACCGTGCCGTTAAGTTTGTGTTTGGTTCATTTTCATCTTAGATTTTCTGAACAATGTCACTTTTTTCTTTCTTTTTTTGGTACCAGGAGTTGAACTCATGACCTTGTGCTTCTGGGTAGGTGCTTATGCTGCTGAGCTAAATGCCCGGCCTCATCTTAGATTTTCTGAACATAAGCTCTTACGAATGTAAAGTATGTACACACGCATGTATATGCTTTTAAGTGTGTATTTGCATATGTGTTATATATATTACACTATATATATATGGAGTGTATTACACTGCCTCCCAATTGACAAGATAATCTTTTGAGTTTGCAACCTTAGTGGAGAAAGCCGTGATTTTGATGAAACTTAGGAAGTGATTATGCAAACTAGCTAGTCTTAAATTAACTTCAGTCCCCTCAGAATATCTCTTTGGACCTTTCGTCAGTGACTCACCTTGAGCTGTGTATCCTCAGTTGTACTCTGACCGTGTGTGTGGCCTGTGTCTTGCATTTACATCCTTATCCATGTTAAGCAATGTTTTTTTTTTTTTTTTTCTTTTTTTGTCTTTTTGAGACCGAGTCTCACTATGCATACACTCTGGCCTGGGGGTCACTTTGTAGCCCAGGCTGGTCTCAGACTTGCCACATCCTCCTGAGCAGTCTCCCAAGGGCTGGGATTACACAGTGCACCACTACAACTGGCTAAAGCAATGTTTTCTACCGCTGCAAAATTTCTCTCTCTTTTAAGAAGCTGACTTTTTACCTGTTTGTTTGTTTGTTTTGTTTTATTATATGTAATTTATTTTTTGCCTTTGTTACTGGGGATTGAACTCATGACCTCACTTATGCCATGGCAGGCACTTATGCCACTGAGCTAAAGCCTCAGCCCACGTATTTATCATTAACTCCTTGTGTGGATTTACTCTGCCTTGGAAATTTGACTGTAATTTATCAGAAATTACTGGAAGCTCTAAAATGGTGAAAAATGAAAATACTTCATTTTGCTTTGTTACACCCTTTCAGGTGACTCTGACATTTATTGTTGTTATTTTTCAACTTTGTAATAATACATGTTTTTGTCTGGTGGAATGAATCAGTCAGTTCTTTATAAATCTATCAAGTTCACTTCAGCATTCTTGATTACCTGTATTCTTGTCTGTTCTGTGAATTCTCCAAACTAGTTGTAACATCCTAATGGTTCCTTCACATTTTTTCGTTTTAAAGAGAAAAACACAAAAAAATTAGAAATCAATCCAGGAAAAAAAAAAAGCCAAACAATGACAACAGCAAAAACCAATAGTGATACAGGCTTTCAAAATAAGATTATAGAAATTTAACAAAGGTTATTATATTACATATTGTTATTTTCAAACTGGTTGCTAGGGTTACCAGATACAGGCATGCAAAATTGATCAAATAATGTAATTTCCCTCTGAACACTTCCTTTCCCTTTCACTATATCTATTGTAACTTTTGGATCTCATATATTTTCAGTCTCTTACACTAGCAAGAAAATACAGGGTTGACACATGTGAGTCTGATTTATTTCACTTTGAAGATGGTCTCTAGTTGCATCCATTTGCCTATAAAAGTCTTGAGTTTATCTTTCTTTGAAGATACTTGTTTATTTATTTATTTTTGGTACCAGGAATTGAATTTAGGACCTTCCACTTGCCAGGCAGGTGCTATGCCACTGAGCTATGTTCCTGGTGAGTTGATTTTCCTTATAGCTGAGTAGAACTGTATGTAAAAATACCACATTTTTAAAAATCCATTCCTAAGTTGATGGGCATTTAGGTTGTTTCCAAGAACTGGCTATTACAAACTACAGCTATAAACATGGGTGCATATACATTGTTGTGGTATGTTTTCAATTCTTCTGGAAAAATACCCCAGAGGAGAACTTCTGAGTCAAATGGAACCTCTAATCCTAGTTTTTAAGGAATCTTTACCCTGATTTCCACTGGTTTTACCAGTTTATATTCCCACCAACAGTGGAGAAGGGTTACTTTTCCCCCACAGCCCTCCAGCCTTTGTTATTCATTGATTTCTTGATATGAACCATTTTTTCTGGAGTGAGATGATATCTCAGTGTTGTTTTAATTTGCATTTCTCAAATGATCAGTGATATTGAACATTTTTTCACGTACTTATTTGCCATTTCTATTTCTTCATCTAAGAATTGTGCACTCATCTCAGATGCCCATTTTTGAATTGGATCTTTGAATTTGGGGGCCCTGTTTTTTTTCAATTCTTTATACATTCTAGATAGAAGTTCTTTGTCAGAGTGACAGTTGGCAAAAAATGTTTTCTCAGTCAGTGGGTTTTCTTTTCACTCCGTTGGTGATTTCTTTGGATGTGCAAAAACTTTTTAGTAAGATGAGATTCGATTTGTTGAATCTTTGAAGTATTTCCCATGAAGTTTGCTTTTTGTTCATGAATTCTCTGCCTACCCCTATGTCCTTGAGATTTTTACCTTTTGTCCCCCAGTAGATTTAATGTTTCTGTCTTAATATTTAGATCTTTGATCCATTTTGACTTTAGTTTAGTACATGGGCCTATTTTAAGTCTTTGACATGTGGAAAGCCACTTTTGCCAGCACAACATATTAAAGAGTCTATCTTTCTTCCAGTGAACTTGTTTGGCCCCTTTGTCAAAGATAAGATGGCTGAGTGTGTTTGTAGCTGTGTCTGTATCTTCCATTCTGCTCCACTGATCCTCAGGTCTGTTTATTTACCATGCTGATTTTATTACATCAGCTTTGTAGATAATTCTGGCCAAGGATTGTGATGCATCCTGTCTTGTCTTTTTGCTCAGAATTGCCTTTACTATTCTAAGGTCTCTTTGGATTCCGAATTTTTAGGAATTTTTTTTTCTAGATCTGGAGGTATGCTAACAGAATTTTGATCGACATTGCACTAAATTTGTATAGCAGTTTTGGGAATATGGGCATTTTCATTGTGTTGGTTCTTCATATCCATGAGCAAGAAATATCTTTCCATTTTCTGAATTCTTCTATTTCTTTTTTCAGGGCACTGTAATTTTCAATGTATAATCTTTTACTTTTTTTGTTAGGTTGACTCTTAAGTAGTTCATTTTTTGTATGATATTGTAAAGGGTGTGGTTTCCTAACTTCTCTCTTGTGAGTTTGTTGTTTGTGTACAGGAATGCTGTTGACTCTTGAGTGTTGATTTTGTACCCAGCTACACTGCTGAATTTGCTTATTAAGTCTAATAGAATTTTGGTGAAGTTTTTGGAGTCTTCTATGTAGACTTATCATGTCATCTGCAAGTAATAATAATTTAACTTCTTTCTTTCCTATCCTTGTTTCTTTTATTTCTCTTTCTAGTCTAATTGCTCTGGCCAATGTTTCCAGAACTATATTGAATAGGAGGGGTGATAGTGGCATCCTTGTCAATTTTTGTCTGTTTAGTATGATGTTGACTGTTGGTTTGTCATAAATGGCTTTTATCAGATTGAGGTAAACACTAACTATTCCAGTTTTCTCTAGGATTTTTACCATAAATGAGTGTTGGATTTTATCAGAAGCTTTTTCTGCATCTATTGAGATGATCGTGTGATTTTTGTCTTTGGCTCTGTTAATGTGGTGTGTTACATTTATTGATCTGGGTATGTTGAACCAACCCTGCATTCCTGGGTTGAATTCCATTTGCTCGTGGTGTACAATCTCCTTAATGATTTGCTGCATTCTGTTTGCTAATGTGTTATTTAGGATTTTTGCATCTATATTCATTAGGGAGATTGGCCTATAGTTCTCTTTTTGGGTTGGCTATTAGGGAGACTTGCTTCCCTTTTAATTTCATTAAAGAGTTTGAGGAGTGTTGATGTTAAATTTTCCCTAAATTTTGTGTAGAATTCAGCTGTGAATCCATCAGCACCTGAACTCTTTTTTGTTGGTAAGTTTTTAGTTACATTTCAGTTTCATTAACTGATACTGGGTTATTCAGGATTTTATATCTTCTTGATAGAGTTTTGGTTATTCATGTATTTTCAGGAATCTGTCCATTTCTTCTGTGCTTTCCATCCATATATTTTCAGGAATCTGTCCGCTTCTTCTATATTTTCCATTCTATGAGTGTATAGATTTTCAAAATAGATATTGATGGTCTTCAGAATTTCCATGTGATTGGTAATAATTTCACACTTTTCATTTCTTATGCTTGGATTTGAATTTGTGTTTCCTCTTTTTGATAAGATTGGCTAGGGTTTATCAATTTTATTTGCTCTTTCAAAGAACCAACTCTTTGATTCATTAACCCTTGGTATTGTTTTTTT